AAGGATAAGGAAGGAGAGAGAGAGAGAAAAAAAAAAGAAAAGAAAAGAAAAGAAAAGAAGAGAAGAATTTTGAATATCGAATTAACTCACAATTCTTCGTCGCAAATGGGCAGATCCGGATCTAGGAAGAGGCATTCGTAGATCGCAGGGGAGGACGTCGATCGCAGTTCGGACAAACTGTTTCTCTTGGAGGAATTTTCGTCGGTGGCGCGTAGGGGGAGGGATTGACTCGTCAAGTGCATCAGGATGTGAAGCACAAAGACCGCCGCGAAATTGTTCCTCATTGTTCCCATTGTCCGTGAAAAAGTCTCCTTGCGTCTGCGGAAAGTTCTGCAACGTCGGTGATCACTCTTAATAACGTTACGATATTGCTGGCAGAGAATTTCGCCTCCGTACGAGCCTCTTGTTAACTCTATTTGTTCCGCGGTTCGCTCGAAAAATCGTGAATTCTTTTTTTTTTTTCCATCATCGATCGTTCCTTTCAACGAAAGGAGGAAAAAAAGTATTATCATCTGGCAGAATTTTTTGCCAATTTTTCTACAAAGAAGATGGATTCGATCCGTGCTCGTCATCGATCGTTTTACCGTTTTAATCTTTATCCCTTCTTCTTTCTCCTCGAGGACAAAAAGATCGTGACGGATTCATTCGAGATCCCTTCAGATAGAAGGGATTGATCGCGCGAAAATATAACATTTTCACCTTCGAATTATAATCGTCGGACAAATCATCGATTATGTCGGTGTCCCCGAAGCAAAGATTTTGAGGATCGATGACGAATGATCGATGAAAAATCCAAATCGAGGAGGGGCGGAAAATTGGTACGTAATCGTGCGAATCGCGCGCGCGATGGTTTATTAATTAAAGGGGCAGCAATTGAACGTGCGGCGCGAGTGGCGTTTGAACAAACGCGTACTGGACGACTACGCTAATGCAACGACACCGAGCCGCTAATAGCCGGTTAACAATGATAATTCGCCCGTTATCGCGGTCAAAGTGGTACAGCGCGTAGATACATCTGTGGGGAAAATGGTGGTGGGAAGGGAATCGGGCGTTCCGATCGGCGACGAGAGTAATGTTGACCCTCTTGAAACATTGAACACGGGTTAAATTCAACCCGTTGTCGCCGTTTGAGAAAGACAAACGCTCTCTCGATACCGAAAATCGTTTCGGGTCGATCGTTTCGCCGCGTGTGTTCCGTTTAAGCGTTGCCAATCAAGCGTCGTAAATTCTCGTTCCACTCGTTTTTCGCGAATCTATCCGGACGAGATGGATCGCGTAATGTCTCGATTTTATCGTACGTTTTGTTCCTTTTTTTGCTCGCGTCAAACCTCGACGTAAAACGAAAAGATAAAAATAGATTCCTAGAGAAATCCTTCCTTCCTTCCTTCCTTCTTTCTCTTCGTGACGCGTGATAAATCTCGTTCGAAGCGAACCGTGGATGACCACGGTCAGATAAGTAAGTCAACGTGTACGTATGACAACTCGGACGATCGTTGCTTGAATATCGACGAGAGAGAAGAAATCCGAAACGATTTATAGGGTGGATTATGGGAAAATAAAAGAGACGACCGAGAAGGAAAAATAAAACTTGGTGAAAATATAATTTACGTTACGCGAGGAGAAAGTCCGACGACGCGTGATCCGCGGGCGCCGCCACGATGGTGTCGTTATCACGCTGCCCAGTTGTGGATGACATAATGATTCTGTTTACCAGCCAATCGAGCGGAACAATCCTCCGTTTCCGATTGTGACAGGCGGCAGGCAGCGGCTCGTGTCGAGTGGATTGTCGCTTGTCGCTTCCTCTCTTGCAGGTCGAGCAACGTACGTACGAGAAGAAAAGAGAGAAGAGAAAGAAAAAAGAGAAAATGGAAATCGTGTATTTTCTTTTCACGGATAGATAGATAGATATAAATTGGAAGGGTGAAACGAAAAACGTAAACGGAGACAAAGTATATATTTCTCGATAAAGCGGAAAGAGTCGTGCGAACGCGTGCTCGAATGGAGTGGCGCCGTTGTATCGGTGGCGGTACGTCGCGGAGAATTAATTCTTGGGCCCGCGGATCCATCGACGCTCCGTCTACGAATACGTATCTCTCGATCAGCTACGCGAACGATTATCTCGAAACGAGTCAAAGATCAAAAGAGAGAGGAGGTCAACAACTGGTCAATCGTTCGACTTCGTGAAATTCCATTTTCCATTCTACTACTCTACTCTCTCCTCTTTTCCTTCGCGTCCCATTCGTCGTTTCGTCGATGCGATCGAGATGTAAAAATCGGCTCGAGTACCATCCTCCTCCTCCTCCTCCTCCTCCTCCTCCTCCTTCTTCTCCCTTTTTCTATCTGTATAATATACGGGTATATTATCGTGGAATAATAAGCTAGTGTTTACGCGCGATCGGCGCGCGACGAACTCGAGGAGGAAGCGTCGCGACCGTGATAAAAATGAGACTCGTATTGATGATAGGGCTTGCTCAATGCGACTCGTTATCGGCGCCTGTGCAAGCAGTGCACACAACGCTTGAACTTGTAAATCTTGCTGTGATGATCGTCTGGATCGTTGATCCACATACCGGTACCGTGTATCGCGTCGATATTGATTTCGAAGAAAACGGATTTCAAAAGTGATAGATAAGATTAACGAGACGAAGTTGGAACACAGGAGGATCGTTGTTCGCGAATTCCAAGGAAAAATCGGCGATCGTAGAAATCTAGTCTCTACTCAATCGTCAAAGGGAAAAGGATGCGGACAGACAGAGACAGGGATTTTTCGTTGGAAGCACGAATTCGAGCGGGGTTCGCTTTATTTTTCCGGATCCCTGAATTCGAATACAACGATATATAATACGCGGCGTGGCGTTTCTCTCCTCGAATCGACGAGAGATCCCTCGAATGAGTTCTCGTTGTTGAGTCGCGGCTGTTTACGAGGTTTAATCGCGCTTCGTTCCTCCCTCGACGACGGTATGTCAACTCCGTTGTGCACGGTAACGCGAACCTGATTTCACGCGCAGGAAACGTTGTCTTCCCCTCCTCCCCCGCACGTCACCTTACATCATTCCCATCGCGTCGTCGTAATAATGCCATTATCGGCCGCGATATCGGCCGTACGTTGGACGATCGATTATTCTAATTGCGTTAATAACCGTGGACAAGCGTTTATTGACAGCTACGGCAGAGGACGAGGCAATCCACGCGATCTCATCCGTTTCGATTATAATCGTTTTTTTTTTTTTTTTTTCTTTTTTTTTTACGTAGGAAAGCGAATCGCGCGCGGATGGATCGATAAACGAGCTCGCGATGCTTTAAAATACGAAAACTTTTGACACGGATCGAGGTTGAAGAACGATGACAGAGAAGAAATCGTCGAAACGTATCGGCGTTTAATAATAAGTTTTCGGTACGATGTTATATCATCAGGATTGGAAACGTGATAATCGTAAAAATGAAGCGACGGTGACGATGTAAATGGGAAATAGGAGCAGGAACGGACGAAAGAGTAGTGTAGGTAGGGTAGGAGTAGAGTAGTAGGATGCGATAATAAAAACACGGCCGAGACTCGGTTCGATCGTATATCGCGAGCGAAGAAGAAAGGAGCGTGAGAGGAGGAGAAAGAAAGAACGGGTTATCGCCGCCATGGTGTACTATTTATACGCGCGTCCACGAATCATTAAAAATACGTCGCGACGCGATGCAATTTATATCCGACGACCATTCGAGTAATAAACAATTAGCGAGAAATCGACTATGCGCCCGATAAATCGCTGCTTGCTCGAATCTTTCCTTACGAGCAACGACGATTTTGTAATCTTTTTTTTTCTTCTTTCTTTCTTTCTTTCTTTCTTTCTTTCTTTCTTTCTTCTTCAATTTCGAAACTTTCTCTTCGCTCTCGTTGTGCTCGTGCTATGCCATCGGAAGATAGAGAAATATTGGACGCCTTTTCTCAAACGAGTTTGCGAAAGATGACTCGACGTGTTGTTGTCAACTTTGTCATTTTTTTTTTTTTTTTAAAAGAATGCAAAAAACAACGCTGTAACATCGGCGAGAACGTGGTTGGTCATTTATTTTAGGATTTCTAACAATTGCGAGAAACGCGCTTGATCTTGCCGTGGAAAAAGTATTCGGCCCACGAAAGAAACTCGTTACGCTAATGTCTTTCTACTTTTTCCCCGACTGATAGGAAACGAGAGACGAAAGGAAGGAAGGGAGGGGAACGAGACGAAGAATAAATTACGAGCTGATTGAACGCGAAAGGCGGGCAAGCGTTGTGAAGAAAATTTTCAAATTGCTGTTGGTCTCACTGCTGAATGAAAAGTAAATTGGATCAGAGTCCCTCCCGACGGCCACCACCGCCACTTAATAGAAATGCAGCGTGGAGGAGGTTAAGGAACACGAACTTTTCCACGAGTTCTCTTATCGAGCAGATTTTTAATCGGGCCTCGTGTGCGGCATTCCGTGTCCCGAGCTTGTCACTTTGGGGTCAGAAAAATATTCCCAGCTTGTCGTAAACCGTTAGCAACCGGGAGCAGAGCAGCATCGTGAGCCAATTTCTCTTCCTTCTCTAAGTTTCCACTTTCTTCGCGACTTTTCTTCACGATCCATCTTTCTCTTCTCTTCCTTTTTCTTTCCTATCACACCGCGCGCGTGTTTTTCTAAATTTCTTCCATCTTATATATTTTGTCCTCCATTTTTATCATCCGCCGATTTTTTAATCAACCTCTTTCTCTACTCTGGATACTCTCTCTTGTGTAACTTGTTCTATTAGAGATTAAAAGATTGAACGAGAAGCGACGAGCTTTTCCAACGTAGCTATCCAACGGTGTAAAACGCGTTGACAAGAAGATGACTTTTTATTGTACGAATACTTTTTAAATAATAAGAGACAAATTAAAATAAACTACGAATCTTCTTACCCGAAAGTCATCCAAACAAGGGTGAAAATCTTGCCGGATGCGTTTCGACGATTGATTAAAACTCGCTGTGCGCGCGCGCACACACACACGCACACACACGCACACACGCACACACACCGCTGTTGCGCGAATCACCGCCGATCACTGACTGAAAGTTCCACGACGCCTATCGTATCACGGTGTCCCGACATTCGCGCGATCGACGATCGATATTTAAAAAAAGGTGGAAAGATGAAAGAGCGACGGACGATCTTGGAAGCGAGGAGATTCGAAAGAGAGGAAACGTCCACGCTGACGTTGAGCGTACTACTACCGCGGTTCCACTCGCCGATATGCCGGTCGAAAGAGATTAGAACAGCTGGTTCCAGGTCCCTACCACGAGATATCTCGCTCCACGTAACTGTATAACGCTTTGATTCGCGATACCATCGCGAAAATGATGAATCGATCCTCGAAAATTGTACTATCTCTTTCTCCTTCCCCTGTTTTATTTCACCTCTTTACCCCTTTACTCGGATTTTTATTTCGCTTCTGTAATTAGACGATACGCA